TTCAGAAAAAGGCCAGAAGAGGTGTTAGTCTGTGCACATACAAAAAAACCCCACAACAAAGCAGGACACCGTTTTTTGTGTGGGAGTGTAAAACACCACTGTGCGTGACACCGTTTCAAAAAGTTCCCCAGGCTGCAGAACTTCTATAAACATTTCCCTGCGACGTATATGTATATTAAAATATAAAAAATATAAAAAACAACATTTTAAAATGTTTTTGTGTGTAAACAACTTTTTTAAACAAAATAGTGCCAACAGTGTTTGTGCAGTTACTGTGTAGTAAATAAAGAGAAAAAAATTACAAAATAGTGCTCATATTGGTCTCACAGGCCATAAAAGTTACTTGAAAAAAAAAAACAGAAAATAATACCAAAACAACTAAATAAACTAAGACTGGGTGACCGGCAGTCGGCGATGTTGCTGTGTGCCAGTCGTTTTCTGTCAACTTCATGCCTCCATATCGCATTAAGTATTGATGGTAAAATTTTTTTGTTTAACCTGTAATATTTAAAAAAAAAAAAAAAAACTATCTTTTCATAAGAAAAAAATAATTTTTTTTTCTAAATTTTTTCGGCCCTGACAACAAGTCTGGGAGAGGGCCTGTCAACCCCGAAAGGGTTAAAACAGCAACTTTGCACTGTATTTTCGTATGGTATTTATGGCTGTATTCTAGTTTTCCTGGTCTCATTTCATAGAATGGAAGACATCTTACAGAAATTGAAATGATATTGATTGGTTTCGCAATGAAAAGTACCTTGAAATTGAGCTCAAAGTAGCAGAAATGTTCGGTTTTTGCCAATGTTCAAAAGTAAACAAATCATGCCACATGTCCAATACACGTCAACTGGTGAGTAATATTCTTTCACAAGTGCGCTGATATTATTTATACCATTTCTACACTAATGAAGTAGTCTGCATAACTGTAAATCTTCTGTTTTTTGTGAGAATAAAAATTCAAAGTGGAAAGCAAAAGAAATGTAAGAGGGGCCTGGGGATGTGACTAACGAACAATGTTATTTTAGTGCCAGGAATGTCTATCTTGTTTATTCTGGACCCTATTTGGAAATTGGCTTGTTTTGAAATTTGTGTGAAAATGGCAAACTTGCCAATTTCTGACCACTTCATTGGATAGCTGAAATTGGTAAATGGGTGGTTTCTTGTACTCATTCGATAGAAAAAATGGAGTTCTAGTGAAATAGTTATGATTTTTGTCGATTGGTACATTGGAATTGGCTGAAAATAGAGCTCAATATGGGCGAAATCGTCAATGCATAAAAATTGTCGAGACCGCTAACTTCACGAGAGCATAATTCCACAAGTTTCCCTTTAAATTTCAAACTTTTTGTTTCAATATGATTGGGAGAAGATACTATCATTTCATAAAATAATTTTTTTTTTTTTTTTTCAAAAAATTTTCGACCCTGAAAGCTTTAGGCATATCAAAAAAATACCCCACAAAACAGCCACTAATTACTTTTTTCTCTAATTTTCATGGCTATCTTCATAACAACAATGTGTACAATTCAAAAGCAGTTTAATTCATAGTAAAAATTTCACTGAAATTGGATAATTAGGAAAAAAGATCGATATTCACCCTCCCCCTTAAAAGTTCTGTGTCCACATTTTAAAAAAAAAAAAAAAAAGAAATCTTTCTAAAACAGAAGAGCAACTTTTCCTGAAAGTAATGACACCAAAACTACAAATCTGATGGAAAACTTGTATAATTATGCAAACACAAAATTGCAGTCTGGTTGCATTTTACCCACTGGTGATTTAGCTGACTCCTGTTTTAAGCCAATTCCATTGCTCAATTTAACCAAATTCTTAATTATTTCACTAGTATGCCTTCTGTTCTATCAAGTACAAGAAACCACCTAGCCGACTATCAAATCTACCCTATAGAGTGTAAAGGATTCAATAATTTGGCCAATTTTATTCAACTATCAAATCTACCCTATAAAGTGCAAAGAACTCAGTAATCTGGCCAATTTTATGAAAAATTAAACAAAGTCCAATTTAAAAACAGTCAAAATAAACACTGTGGACATTCCAGGCACTAGAACAATATTTCCTCAGTGTAATAATCACATCCCCTAGCCTTTCCTATAGTATTACATTTGCCTTCCATTTTGAATTCATCACCACAAAAAAAAAAAAAATCTAAGATTTACCTTATTTTTTCAGATAATAAAATATAGCCATGAATGATTTATCATCTTTATGACATCCCAGTAATTGAATCAGACTTCATAAAAACCCATAAAACAGAAGAGGGGATGTAAAGGAGGCCTTACCCATCAAGCTACTTCCAGTCCTGGAACCAACTATAATCATCTCTTATTTCAGTGGCATGTCTTTCATTCTATTAAATGATTCCAAAAAACAGCCAATAAAATCAGGAAAATTCATCCTAGAGAACATCTCAAATATGCTATTTTAAACCAAACATCATGCAACCACAAGGCAGGATTTTTTTTATACTGTACACACTCACTTCACAGAATCATTCTCTCACATCTAGGTCAAAATTTACCATTCGCAAGTCATCTGAATGAGTTGAGCTCATGATGTAGATCTGTGTGACAGACCCTGGCATCACTTATGTTCTACATGGCAGACAAAGGCTTAATATCACATACCTGCAAGCCCCTCCCAAGAGGCTCACCATTAGCAATCCCTTCCTAAAATCACTTTGTCAAGTCAACTGATAAAAAAATTTCTTGCTTAAATGTTAGTACAGTGGACTCCCACCTTACAATATTAATCCGTTCCTGAGAGCTCATCGTATGCCGAAATTATCGAAAGGTGAATTAATTTTCCCCATAAAAAATAATGGAAATAAAATTAATCCGTGCAAGACACAACAAAGTATGAAAAAAAAACAATTTTTTTCCACATGAAATATTAATTTTAATACACACAAACTGACACTTACCTTTATTGAAGATCTGGTGATGATTGATGGGATGGGAGGAGGGGAGTGTGTGGAAGTTGTTAATGTTTAGAAGGGGAATCCCCTTCCATTAGGACTTTAGGTAGCACGTCCTTTTTCGGGGTTACTTCCCTTCTTTTAATGCCACTAGGACTAGCTGACCATGGTGCAGCAACGGGTGGCAGTGGTGCAGCAACAGCTGACTTTGGTGCAGCAGCAGCTGACCGTGGTGCAGCAACAGATGACGGTGGTGGAGCAGCAGCCGACTGGTGCAACAGCAGCTGACCATGGTGCAGCAGCAGCCGACCGTGGTACAGCAGCAGCCAACCGTGGTGCAGCAGCAGCCGACCGTGGTGCAACAGCAGCTCACCATGGTTCAGCAACAGCTGACTGGTGCAGCAACAGCTGACCATGGTGCAGCAACAGCTGACCATGGTGCAGCAACAGCTGACCATGGTGCAGCAACAGCTGACGGTGGTGCAGCAGCAGCTGACCGTGGTGCAACAGCAGCTGACCGTGGTGCAACAGCAGCTGGCCGTGGTTCAGCAACAGCTGACTGGTGCAGCAACAGTTGACCGTGGTGCAGCAACAGCTGACCGTGGCGCAGCAACAGCTGACTGTGGTGCAGTAACAGCCAACTGTGGTGCAGCAACACTTGACGGTGGCGCAGCAGCAGCTGACCGTGGTATGATAGTATATATTTCTCACCCTTTTTACCACAGGGTTGGCACTAGAAGCTTTCTTTGGGCCCATGGTGGCTTATTTAGCAGTTACAAGCACTATAAACAATGGAATACAAAATGTATCGAATGTATGCATGCAACCGGCCACCCTGGCTTGTAAACGATGACGGCAAGGAAGCTGAGGCACTCTGGCTGGACGGACAGGTTCGGGACGAGTCATGTTGGTCAGAAACAGCTGATGGTGGTGCAGCAGCAGCTGACCGTGGTGCAGCAGCAGCTGATGGTGGTGCAGCAGCAGCTGACGGTGGTGCAGCAGCAGCTTATGATGGTGCAGCAGCAGCTGATGGTGGTGCAGCAGCAGCTGACAGTGGTGCAGCAGCAGCTGACCGTAGTGCAGCAGCAGCTGACCGTGGTTCAGCAACAGCTGACTGGTGCAGCAACAGCTGACAGTGGTGCAGCAACAGCTGACAGTGGTGCAGCAACAGCTGACCATGGAACGATAGTACATATTTCTCACCCTCTTTACCACAGGGTTGGCACTAGAAGCTTTCTTTGGGCCCATGGTGGCTTATTTAGCATTATAAACAATGGAATAATACTAAATGTATCAAATGTATGCATGCAACCCGCCACCCTAGCTTGTAAACAACAACGACTGGGAAGCTGAGGCGCTCAGGCTGGACGGACAGGTTCAGGATGAGTCACGTTGGTCAGAAACAGCTGATGGTGGTGCAGCAGCAACTGACTGTGGTGCAGCAGCAGCTGACCGTGGTGCAGCAGCAGCTGACCAAGGTTCAGCAACAGATGACCAAGGTTCAGCAACAGCTGACCGTGGTGCAACAGCAGCTCACCGTGGTTCAGCAACAGCTGACCGTGATGCAGCAACAGCAGCTGACCGTGGTGCAGCAGCAGCAGCTGACCGTGGTGCAGCAGCAGCAGACCGTAGAGCAGCAGCAGCAGCTGGCCGTGGTGCAGCAGCAGCAGCTGACTGTGGTGCAGCAGCAGCAGCTGACCGTGGTGCAGCAGCAGCAGCTGACCGTGGTGCAGCAGCAGCAGCTGACCGTGGTGCAGCAGCAGCAGCTGACCGTGGTGCAGCAGCAGCAGCTGACCGTGGTGCAGCAGCAGCAGCTGACCGTGGTGCAGCAGCAGCAGCTGACCGTGGTGCAGCAGCAGCAGCAGCTGACCGTGGTACAGCAGCAGCTGACCGTGTTTCAACAACAGCTGACTGTGGTGCAGCAGCAGCTGACCGTGGTGCAGCAGCAGCTGACCGTGGTGCAAGAGCAGCTGACCGTGGTGCAAGAGCAGCTGACGGTGGTGCAGCAGCAGCTGACGGTGGTGCAGCAGCAGCTGGCGGTGGTGCAGCAACAGCTGACCGTGGTGCAGCAGCAGCAGCTGACTGTGGTGCAGCAGCAGCAGCAGCAGCAGCTGACTGTAGTGCAGCAGCAGCATCTGATCGTGGTGCAGCAGCAGCAGCTGACCGTGGTGCAGCAGCAGCAGCAGCAGCAGCTGACCGTGGTGCAGCAGCAGCAGCAGCAGCTGACCGTGGTGCAGCAGCAGCAGCAGCTGACCGTGGTGCAGCAGCAGCAGCAGCTGACCGTGGTGCAGCAGCAGCAGCAGCTGACCGTGGTGCAGCAGCAGCAGCAGCTGACCGTGGTACAGCAGCAGCTGACCGTGGTGCAGCAGCAGCAGCTGACCGTGGTGCAGCAGCAGCAGCTGACCGTGGTGCAGCAGCAGACCGTGGTACAGCAGCAGCTGACCGTGGTGCAGCAGCAGCTGACCGTGGTGCAGCAGCAGCAGCTGACCGTGGTGCAGCAGCAGCTGACCGTGTTTCAACAACAGCTGACTGTGGTGCAGCAGCAGCTGACCGTGGTGCAGCAGCAGCTGACCGTGGTGCAAGAGCAGCTGACCGTGGTGCAAGAGCAGCTGACCGTGGTGCAAGAGCAGCTGACCGTGGTGCAAGAGCAGCTGATGGTGGTGCAGCAGCAGCTGACGGTGGTGCAGCAGCAGCTGGCGGTGGTGCAGCAACAGCTGACTGGTGCAGCAACAGCTGACAGTGGTGCAGCAGCAGCTGACCGTGGTGCAGCAGCAACAGCTGACCGTGGTGCAGCAGCAGCAGCTGACTGTGGTGCAGCAGCAGCAGCTGACCGTAGTGCAGCAGCAGCAGCTAATCGTGGTGCAGCAGCAGCAGCTGACCATGGTGCAGCAGCAGCAGCAGCAGCTGACCGTGGTGCAGCAGCAGCAGCAGCTGACCGTGGTGCAGCAGCAGCAGCAGCTGACCGTGGTGCAGCAGCAGCAGCTGACCGTGGTGCAGCAGCAGCAGCAGCTGACCGTGGTACAGCAGCAGCTGACCGTGGTGCAGCAGCAGCAGCTGACCGTGGTGCAGCAGCAGCTGACCGTGTTTCAACAACAGCTGACTGTGGTGCAGCAGCAGCTGACCGTGGTGCAGTAGCAGCTGACCGTGGTGCAAGAGCAGCTGACCGTGGTGCAAGAGCAGCTGACCGTGGTGCAAGAGCAGCTGACGGTGGTGCAGCAGCAGCAGCTGACGGTGGTGCAGCAGCAGCTGGCGGTGGTGCAGCAGCAGCTGGCGGTGGTGCAGCAACAGCTGACTGGTGCAGCAACAGCTGACCGTGGTGCAGCAGCAGCAGCTGACCGTGGTGCAGCAGCAGCAGCTGACTGTGGTGCAGCAGCAGCAGCTGACCGTAGTGCAGCAAACAGCAGCTGACCGTGGTGCAGCAGCAGCAGCTGACCGTGGTGCAGCAGCAGCAGCTGACCGTGGTGCAGCAGCAGCAGCAGCTGACCGTGGTGCAGCAGCAGCAGCAGCTGACCGTGGTGCAGCAGCAGCAGCAGCTGACCGTGGTGCAGCAGCAGCAGCTGACCGTGGTGCAGCAGCAGCAGCAGACCGTGGTGCAGCAGCAGCAGCAGACCGTGGTGCAGCAGCAGCTGACCGTGGTGCAGCAGCAGCTGACCGTGGTTTTAACAACAGCTGACTGTGGTGCAGCAGCAGCTGACTGTGGTGCAGCAGCAGCTGACCGTGGTGCAGCAGCAGCTGACCGTGGTGCAGCAACAGCTGACCGTGGTGCAGCAACAGCTGACCGTGGTGCAGCAACAGCTGACCGTGGTGCAGCAACAGCTGACCATGGTGCAGCAACAGCTGACCATGGTGCAGCAACAGCTGATGGTGGTGCAGCAACAGCTGACCGTTGTGAAGCAACAGCTGACCATGGTACGATAGTACGTATTTCCCACCCCTTTTTACATATGATCGCTTGAGAGATGGTATCTCCTGCTATCCATTTTTCGTTTGCCCACACCAATAACAATCTCTCAACATCTTCGAGTACTTGCGATCTCTATTTCGAAAACAAACTTGCACCTTTTGCAAGAACAACTTCCTTGATTGCCGTTTTGTTGGCCACAATAGTAGCGATGGTTGATTGGGGTTTGGTATACAACCTGGCCAGCTCTGATACACGCACTCCACTTTCGTACTTAGCAATTATATCTTTCTTCATTTCCATAGTAATTTTCACCTTTTTTACTGCACAGTTGGCACTAGAAGCTTTCTTGGGGCCCATGGTGACTTATTTTGCAGGTACAATCACTAAAAATGCTCTGATAATATGAAATGTACCGATTGTATGCGTGGATGCAATTGCACTGGCTGGCTTGTTAACACTGGCACCCACAGGACAGCTGAGGCGCGCTCAGGCCACACGTGAGACACCTCCCGGACCGGGATGAATCGTGAGGTGAGGTTTTTAGCATGAGGCGAGGCAAAATTTTTGCTTTAAAATGTATCATATGGCAGATTTAACGTAACGCAATGCCATCGTAAGGTACGGGTCCACTGCATAGTGGAACCTCGGTTTACAAACACTCCACCTTGCAAATTTTTCAGGATATGAACCGTCGTTCAGTCAATTTTTTGCTTCTGGATACGAAGGAAATTTCAGGATGCGAACTTACCCCTCAGAGGAAGTTCCTTAAATAAATAAATAAAATATTTTTTTCTTTGCAAAGGTTACAGTGTGTGTTTATATATGACGGGCAAAGAAAGCCACTGTCACGCCGGGCATTTTGGGAACACTTAACCTAATACTAATAGACTAAGTCTAGACAGGTGAAAAATGTACTAACTGTGGTTACCACTGTTTTGCTGAAGGTAGCGCCAACTACTGGCAGCCTTTTGAAGTTTCTCCTTACTGTTATTATTATTATTATTATTACTATTATATTGTATTATTATTATTGTTATAAGTACATACTAATAATAATGATAATACAGTGGACCCTCGACCAACGGTGGCATCAATTAACAATAAATCCAACTAGCAATACATTTTAACGCAAAAATTTTGCCTCGATTAGCACTAAAAAACTCGACCAACACTATTCGTTCCGTCTAAGACGCATCCACTTCTGGCCAGTGTTTATAAGCCAGCCAGCCACCGCGGTCGCTTCCAAGCATACAATCGGAACACTTCACATTGTCACAGCCTTTTTAGTGATTGCACCTGCAAAATAAGTCACCATGGGCCCCAAGAAAGCTTCTAGTGCCAACCCTACAGCAAAAAGGGTGAGAATTACTATGGATATGAAGAAAGAGATCATTGCTAAGTATGAAAGTGGAGTGCGTGTCTCCGAGCTGGCCAGGTTGTACACAAAACCCCAATCAACCATCGCTACTATTGTGGGCAAGAAAACGGCAATCAAGGAAGCTGTTCTTGCCTAAGGTGCAACTATGTTTTCGAAACTGAGATCGCAAGTACTCGAAGATGTTGAGAGACTGTTATTGGTGTGGATAAATGAAAAACAGATAGCAGGAGATAGCATCTCTCAAGCGATCATATGTGAAAAGGCTAGGAAGTTGCATGACGATTTAATTAAAAAAATGGCAGCAACTAGTGATGATGTGAGTGAATTTAAGGCCAGCAAAGGTTGGTTTGAGAGATTTAAAGGGAAGGGAAGTAACCCCGGAAAAGGACTTGCCACCTCAAGTCCTAATGGAAGGGGATTCCCCTTCTAAACACTAAGACCATCAATACTCTCCCCTCCTCCCATCCCATCAATCATCACCTGATCTTCAATAAATGTAAGTGTCATGTAACTGTGCATGTCTTCTTCAGTTTGTGTATTAAAATTAATATTTCATGTGGTAAAAAAATTTTTTTTTTTCATACTTTGGGGTGTCCTACACGGATTAATTTGATTTCCATTATTTCTTATGGGGAAATTTAACTTGACTAACGATAATTTTGACTAACGATGAGCTCTCTGGAACGGATTAATAGAGTTAGTCGAGGGTCCACTGTACATAATAAAAATTATGTATAATAATAATATAATATTACGTAATAGTACAATAATAATTATTGTAATACTATGTACATACTGCGTATAATTTAGTTTAGCCCTTTGACTGTCGCGGCCGTATATATATGTCTTACGAGGTACCATGTTTGACGTATATATACTCATAAATTCTAGCGGCTTCAAATCAAGCAGGAGTAAGCTGGTAGGCCCACATGTGAGAGAATGGGTCTGTGTGGTCAGTGTGCATCATATAAAAAAAATCCTGGAGCACGCACTGCATAATGAGAAAAAAAAAACTCCGACCATTTTTTTTAATTAAAATGCCGACTTTGTGGTCTATTTTCGTATAGTATTTATGGTTTTTATTCTCGTTTTTTTGGGTTTCTCATTTGATAGAACGGAAAACATTTTATAAAAGTAGAGGTGATTTTGATTGATTTTACTATAAAAAGAATCTGGAAATGGAGCTCAAAGTAGGGGAAAGTTTGATTTTTGCCAATTTTCAAAAGTAAACAAATGATGTCATTGTCCAATAAATGTCCAACTAGCCATTCAAAATATGCAGTCAGAATGGGTTGATGTTATTTATACAATTATTACAGTATTGCAGTAGTCTGCATAAAGTAAGTCTTCTATTTTTTGTTTGAATAAAAATTCAAAATAGAAAGCAAGAGTAAAATCAGAGGGGCCTGGAGACATACTGATGAACAAAGAAAATGTTATTTTTAGAGCCAGGAATGTCTGCATTGTTCATTCTGGACCTTATTTTGAAATTGTCATATTTTTATTTTCGTAAAATTTGGGCCCAAATTGCAAATTTCTGACCCCATTATTGGGTAGTTGAAATCGGTTAAATGGGCAGTTTCTTGTACTCAATCAATAGAAAAAAATGGAGTTCTAAAGAAATAGCTATGAGTTTGGTCGACTGGAACAATGGAATTAGCCAAAAAATAGGGCTCAAAATGGGCGAAATCAACGATTTGTAAATATCGCCGAGGTCGCTAAAATTCGCGAGAGCATAATTCCGTCAGTTTTCCATCAAATTTTTGTTTTTTTGGTGTCATTATAATCGGGAAAAGATTCTCTATCATTTATAAGAAAAAATATTTTTTTTTTTAAATTTTGCGACACCAGGAGACACCTCAGGATTGGGGGTTGCGCAGTCCCAAAAGGGTTAACACCAAACCCCACAATGCTCACCAGTGCACATGTGCTTATGGAGCTACCCTCGTGGTGCAAGGAATTCTAGTGATTTCCTTAAATTTCGTGCAGTTAATTCGCCAGATTGCTTTCTTCTAATCATGGGGCCTAAAATAGCCAGTGCAAGGACAGTGCCGAGAAGAAAAGAGAATGATTTGCATGGAATTAAAGCAAGAAATCGTTGATAAGAAAAGACTCGGTACGATGGTTGAGGACTTGGCGAGTATAATCGTAGCCCCTCTACTATATGTACAATACTAAAGCAGGAGTCTATAAAGGCTATAGCGCCAGCAAAGGGCATTACAGT